GTGAAGCAGCAATTCCCTCAAGGCATTTGTCTTTGGTAAGTAGTTCGCCCCCAGAGTTTGAAAACAAGGAAAACCACTGCTCAGAGGGAAATTTCTAATCAAAACTATTTCTGTAAATTCCCAGGACTAAACTATCTCTCAGAATGGCTCAAGTATGGAAAATAAAGATCATCGAAACAGTCCCTTGGGAAAACCCAATATTTAGTTAGTGAAGAAATATGTTCATAAGTCCTCTGTTTTTATCCTGTTTTGCTTTAGGAAGGAATAAGAATTTTATGTCATTAAAAAAAAACACAGACAAAACCATAAGAATTAAAGATGCATTACTTTTCAAACAGAAAGAACAGATATAAATGAGCAAATTGGGAAGAGCTGGAACAGACAGCTGTCTTTGCCAATTTTAAATTTAGTTCAGTGCCGAGTGATGAGGGTAAAAGTCCTGGAGAAGGCCAGTACCACCTTCTGCCCATAGCAGGTACTGTTAGCTCTGTGTTTTGTTAAATGGCTAGAAAAACATACCACACAATGGCATTTATTGCCTTGAGTACCAGTGTTAATCACCTTAGCATCCAACACTTTTGTGGGATTCATGTCAAATACATCCTAAGCAGTGTCTGCTATGCATTGGCTACTGCATCTCATGTCACACCTCAAATAAACTATGCTGAGGTTCCAAGTTCTCTAGACAATGAAGTTGGCTTATAGCAAGAGAGAAAGAGAAGACTCCTCCTCAAATCAGTCACGTTTCCAGCCAAGCAATTAGTAGCCATAGAGATGGCTCCAACTCATAGTGACCTTGTGGATCAGAGCAGCACTGTGTGCCATTTTCAATGTCTATTTCTGAGGTTGATCATTAACGTCTGTCTTTTGCAGCAACCTGGGTAAACTTGAACTTCCAGTGTTTTAATTAGCAGTCAAGTGCATGACCCTAAAGACTCCATGTTGTATTTATCTGAGTGATTTTGTTTGAACACTTCTCTGTTCCAAAATTCCTCTCAAAGAGAGAAGACGCCAAAGAGCTACATGTGAGTGCCCTAAAGTGGTTTTCTTGTAGGCTCTCCAAGAGTGGTTCATGGACTATAGCATCAGCAGCTGCTGCTGACTTTAATGGGAAAGGCAGAGCCTCCCACTAGCCTCAGATCTACTGAACTGGAAGCTGCATCTTACAGGATGTCCTGGGAATTCTTTGGCCACATATCAGGCCTGTTAAGAGTCCCTGGATGATGCAAAGTTAACCCACTCAGTTGCTAAATGTGTGAGTAGAAATATGTGCTTATCCAGGGGTACCTTAAAAAAAGAAAGTCCTAATACTGCTGATGGAAAACCAGTTTTTGAAACTCCACAGAATCCTCATGAGTCTGTCAACTCCATAGCAACCAGTTCCTGGTTGATCAACATATTAACATTTGAAACGCATTGACCTGGTTCGGAAGTGATTATCCTAGCTGCACACTGCACCACCAGCAGGGTTCTGCACACACATCAAGGCACAGAGGGTTCTGCCACAAACACAAGGAATCAGAACTTCCAGGATGAGGCTTCTTGCTTGGGAAGAACCAACATGCAGCCTGGTATTGTGAATCCCCAGAACAGTATCTCCTTTTTCTGTATTACTTTAATACTTCAGATATACATCTGTGCTGACACTTATGAAAAACACTGTAATTTAGAGTGCTAGGTGTCCTCATATCAGAGCTGACTCTCCAACAGGTCTACTGATGCTGTAAATACCAGAGGAAGAGATTACCCATCTTTCTCCCATGAAGCAGCTGGTGGATTCAAAACCATCTGCCTCCGGGTTGACAGCACAGCCCTCTGTTCACTAGGCCACCAGAGCTCCCTTTTGTTTTTTGGTTTTTTTAAAAACAATAATTTTAATGAGCATTTACAGAGATTTTGGATTTCCATTCATTCATTGCTGCACTTCTCTCCCCGCCCAGCCCTCTCCCCCCACCCCCCAGTTCGCTCCTCTCTTTCAAAAGTACAAGAAACACTCCTTCCCTGGTACACAATCCCCCCCGCACCCCTCCCACCGCCCCAAGTACATTCTACTATGCAACCTTAATTGCGGACGACTCTTGTGATAACCATAATACCCTATCATACATCGCTTTCAAAGTATTCACTCCCTCATCTGTTTCAGTGCAGTATGTTCTGCATATTAGGAGTCCCAGTGGCATAGTGGGCTGCTAACCAAAAGGTGGGTAATGGGAGAGAGATGAGGTCGTCTGCTTCTCTAAGGTTTATAGCCTTGGAAAGCTTAGGGGGCAGTTGATACTGTCCTGAAGATCACTATGCATCAGATCAACTTGATGGCAGGATATTTGGGTTCTAGGAACTGGTCACTGTGCTGGCACTTTGCATATGCATTGTGTCCTTTTAATGACAAAAACCCTGTAAATTTGACATTTGCATCCTCCAATTCCAGGTGAGACAACGAATCTTAAAAGTGGCAGTTCAAATCTTAAAGTGACAGCTGAATATTAAAAGTGGCAGAAAACAGATTCAAACATCAGCCATCCAGTGTCCATGCCCCTAAGCCTATCATAATACAAAAATCTGTTTGCATTGTATCTCTCACTAAAATATATCCTATGGAGCTTAAGAACTTTGTCATTCCTTTTCAGTCACTGGTGTCACCTATAGTAGGTACTCAGTAAATATTAAGGAACACTGAATATATCACTAGCTTATGTTGTTGTTGTTATGTACTGTCGAGTTGGAACTGACTCATGGCTGACCTTCCAGTGGGTTTTTCAAAGGTAGAAAATAACATGGGAGCAGACTGCCATTCCTGCTGTGGACCAGCTGGTGGATTCAAACCACATGCCTTTAGGTTGGCAGCACAACTCCTTACCACTAAGCCAGCAGAGCTCCTAATAGCATACAGATGCACAAGAAAAGACCTACGGGCAAAAGCATGCGGGAGTGATACAGAGCCCAGGAGTCGAGCTGGATGGCATGTCCTTGACCTCCCTAAGTATGGTTTTAGGAGCTGACTAATGTTCTGACTAATAAATATGGCTGACAGAAGAAAAAATGATGCCTTGGGACTGTGGTGTTGGAGAAGAGTGCTGAATATCCCACAGAGGGCCAAGAGAACAGATATGTCTTAGAGAGGGTGAAGCCAGATTGCTCCTTGGAAGGAAGGATGGTGAGGTTTTGTCTTGCATATTTTGGTCATGTTGCTAGGAGAGGGTATTCAGTAGAGAAGGACATCATGGTTAGAGAGATGGAAGGACAGCAAAGGAGAAGAAGACCCTCAACCAGGTAAATTGACACATGACTGCAGCAATGGGTTTGAGTGTGTCAGAGATTGTGAGGTTTTCACAGGATAGGACAGAGTTCAGATTATTGTTTATAGGGTCACTGAGTTGTACTCAACTCAATGGCACACAATAATCATAATCATAATCATAATAATATGCTGTCAAATCACCACCATTCAGATGTCATATATGTCCTATCTCCCCTCCTTCTAATAGTACATGTTCTGTGAGTCATGAATGTCACAAAGCAGTATTCCCTCCATAGGTAACCTCAGAGCATGGGTATGAGAAGGCGACATTAAATTAAGCAAATGGCTGTGTCCCTTCCAATCCATTTATAGCTTCAATCTCAGCCCCTCCCCATCCTCCCACCCAGTCTTCTCCCACCAGCAGGCTACTGGAAGGGACAAAGTGTTCCAACGCCAGTACAAAAGCTGTGCTGTGTCCCTCAGCATCTTACACCAGCCAAGGTCAGAGCAAGCTTACTCTCCTGGAACGAGCTTGACTACACTGTGGCCTGCAATTTGTAGCCACGCCCCCCCCCACACCCACAAAAATCCAACAGATAGCAATGAGTTACTCTGGTGTTTATTTTAATGCATCTTAGTCCACACAGTTGGTATAAAATCAGAAAAAGCAAAGCCAAATAAACAAAACAAAAACAGAAGGTCTGGAGTCTTAGCATCTGAAGGGCACCATATATACATCTACAGTTGGTGGCCAATACAAGTCATTGCCAGACAGTCCTTGGAGGCAGCGAACAGTCTAGACCCAGTCAAGCCTGGGAAACGAATGGCCCCAGGGGGTCGAAAGAGCTGTCCTGATGCTCTGACCATAAGAAAACTGTGGGAGCAATTGAGGCTTTGCGTGCTCTTTAGTCATTAGAGTAGTAATAGCAGCCAAGCTAGGAACAACAGGGGTTATATTACACAAAAATTACACAGGCCTCCATTCTACTTTATGTTGTAAGGTGGTTAATTGCATTTCCAGTGAGTTGTTTAGATGATTACTGATAAGAAGGAATGGTAAATACATAGCACCATTTCCCAGGCTTGTCACTGACTTTTCCTTCAGGTGTGTGGCAGAAACACCCCCCCCCCAAAAGGGTGAGTGTCCCAAAGCCACAACTTTGTGTGTGCCTAGGGCTGCGGTTTGGGAGAATTCTGTCCATGTGTTTCCATGAGACCTCACATGGAGGTCCAGGCAGTGGACATGCATGTTTAATGCACTGGGTCCCCTACAATAAAAGGGCAATTTGCCATTGGGGTTTAGACCCACACTTTGGTTTTCTAAATGAGGTGGTATGGGAGGGAGGTTTGTTGGGGTAATTTTTTTTCCCAGTGAAAGGGACAGGGTGAGATGGAGTTCTCATCCCATTTCCAGGCAAAACAGACAAACAAAACACAAAACGAAAAATACTGAGCTTGATTATACTGTTAGGATTTAAAGTTCTTTAGATACTTCTTTAGGTTCAACACATGGCTGATGGTCAACACAAAAAGCAAACAATACTATGTACATATATGTAAAAAGTGTTATAAATAGGTTTTATAAACCATAGATATTATATACATCTTTAATGAACAGTAACCCCCCTCTGAACTACTTTCAGTTTGGTTTGATTTGAGTTTTGGTAATTTGGGTTTGGGTTTGGTTTTGGTGTTTGGCTTCTGGTTTCCTTCCTCCCTTCCCTGTGTGTGCTCAGAGCCTCAGAGGGTCCATCCGGAAGCCTCATTCACGTTTCCGTAAGATCACACAGATCATGCCACTGAGCAGAGCCAAGGGGAAGGCGACCCAGGCCAGGATGTAGGCGAAGCCATATGAGTAGTCGGTACCAAGGTGCCATTCCGGGTGCCTCACTGTGAAGATGGATGCTGCGCTCATCACACACAGACCTGGGGGAGGAGACACAGGAGAGGAAGAGAGGTTGTCAGAGCCGGGTCACAGCAGAGAGCCCCACGCCCAACAGAGACTTCACCAGAGCCATGTACCACAGTGCCCGCCCATGTGCTCCCTGCTCTCCTAACCAGACATAACCCCACTCCCCACTTCAGCATGCACAACACACAGGGGAGCTCCGCACTCATTTTTGGCTGAGGAGGAGTAAGTGAGCAGACGGGGTTGATGGTTCTGTGAAAGAGAATTTTTCACTGTGGAAGGAATCCACTTCCAGGGCCAGAACTGAGAAAAAGGAACTCTAAACCCTGGAACTACGGGAAGGAATCCAATCCTTCACAGGTGATGTTTTCCACACCCTTTAAGTTGTGGTGCTGGAGAAGAGTAATGACTGTCCAGGGAACAAACAGGTCTGCCTAGGAGAAACTGAAACCAGGGTGCTCCTTGGAGGCAAAGAAAGATGGTCCCACCTACTCTGGGCAGGTTGTCAAGGAGGGGTCAGTCCTTGGAGAAAGACATCATGCTTGGAAGGATAGAAGGTCAGTACAAGAGACGAAGACACTGGATAAAATGTATGGACACTGTGACTGTGGTCGTGGGGTCAGGTGTGTCAGAGATGGTGAGGCTGGCTCAGAATAGAACAAGGTTCAGGGCTATTGTTCATAGGGTCGCTATGGGTCAGAGTTGATGCGAAGGCACGTAACAACATCCAACAATTTCTTCTTTTAACTGTCACCAATTTCCAAGTCACAGAGAGAAGAGAACTCAGGTTACCAGAGAAGTCCACCTTGTTTTCTCCACACATGGCTAGCTGTGGAAAATCTTTTGGGGCCCCTGAAGTACTCTATCAGGATATGGGGGCATTATCAGAAAGAAAGGGGAATGACAAGAGACATAAGCATCGTCTGAAGCTCCCCAAGGCCAGTGCACATGGCTTGTAGTTCTCCTGGTCAAATTGCCAAAAAAGAGATGCAACAGACAATGTTCATAGACACCACGAGACAGAGGAAGGGAAGCAAGGTGGAGGAGGAAACGCAGAGGAAGGAGAGGATGTTGTGGTTGTGAGGAGCCCTCCCAGGAACAAACTAGGACTTTGCCCTATCTTGCACCAAGATCACAATCTCTGCCATGTTCAAGTCCACAGTCATAGTCACTGTGTCAATCAATGTCAAAGACAACTGGAGGAGGAAACAAAGATGCAGAAGGTGGGACTATTAACAGGAAGTTCCAGTTCACATCATCCCTCTGAACCCTTTCTGGTGCTCCAGGCGCCTAACTGCAGTATCACATCTACAGTAAAAGGACAGCAGACAAAGAGCCAGGTAAAGTCAATCCCCCCTCATCCCCTAGTATAGGCTCCTGGTGTGAGAAAGAGAAGAAAGAACTACACCTTGTGTTTCATCCAGGAGTCAAGTTCAAGGCTATCTGTCCATGACTACAAAGGCAGTCTCCCTTGCAGAGGTAGGGGGTTTAGGGGGCTGTGATGTCAGCCCCCCAGAGTGGAGCAGCACAAGGCCCTGCCTGTTCCTTCCTGAAAACAGGGCCTTTGAGAGGCTTTGAGTGACTCCATTATAAAGGCAACACAGCGTGTGGGATCTGCAGGGCCCCAAAGCTCCCCATAGCCCAGGCCACCTACAGCTAACCTCCCTGCTATTTGACTGGACACTGCAACTCTGTTAGAACAAAGTGCAGAAGTGGGGCTCTGGTGCACAAGCCAGCCTCATAAGGTTTTTTCTTTTGCAAGTCAAAGGAGAGAAAAACACCCACGTGATTGGCCACTGCTGAGAAAGCCACACAATAGTCTTGGGATTTACAGTGGGATCAGAGCCACGACCTACAGAAAATTCAGGAGATAGCAGGGATGCCTGTGTGTGAAGGGAAGCCTCTGCTGGTGGACTCTCGCTTCAAGAAATGGCCGTTCCAACCTGCTGGGAACACACTTTCTTTGCCTAGGAGTCTGTGAACCGCCAGTGTCCTGTTTCTCATCTTGCTGAAGTGCCCAATTTTGTCTTGAAGAAGTGGTGACACCGTGTCTGGTGCTACATCTGACCTACCTAAATAGGGGCCGGGCTATTTAAAAAAAAAAAAAGGAAGTGTGACCAAGAAAAAGCAAGCAGAAAGTGAGATTCTGGCAGAATTGAACCAGTTGCCATTAGTCAGTTCAACTCTCACTGACTCCTGGTAGTTCTGTGTGCACCAAGGGTTTCCAATTGCAGAGTTTTAGGATTAGATTCCCAGGTTTTTCTTTGGGTGATGTCTTGGGTAGACTTGAACCTCCAACCTTCCAGTTTGCAGTTGAGTGGGCTACGTATTTGTATTAATTAGGAACTAAGCAAGAAAGTGGTGGTGTCATCTGTAGGGAGCTGCACTGGTAACTCAAAGGGGGTGCCTCTCTTGTGGTTCGAATCCACCACTGGTTCTGCAGGAAAAAGACAATCTCCTCCCAGGTAATTTATAACCTCAGAAAACCCACTGGAGAGTCAGCTATGAGTTAGCTTCAACTTGACAACAATAAGAATCTAAAACAGGGGGGATAAATCTTATCTCGATGGCAAGGCTTCGACACGGGGGCTGTGTCCTCACCTGCCCTGGGATAAACGTCCCATGGCTGTATCTACTAGCTCTGGCTGACTTAACTGGCCAAAAAAGAAAATACGAGTACTTAATATCCAATGGGCTGCCAGAAGGACAAAACGATATGTCTTGGAGATAGAACAACCAGAGTGCCCTTCGAGGTAAACACAGTGAGCTTCATCTCACATACTCTGGACATGTTGCTAGAAGGGGGTATACCTTGGAACAGGACATCATGCTAGGAAAGGTCAGTGAGAGAGTGGAAGACCTGGAACAAGACGAACTGACAAAGTGATTGTAGCAATGGGCTCAAGTATGTCAAACACGACGAGGATAGCGTAGGATAGGACAGGGTTCAAATCTGTTGGTCACAGGGGTCGTTATGAGTCATATTCAAGTTGATGGCACATAACAACAACATTGTTGACCAAGAGGCACAGAAGGCGGCAGGATAAACAAGTGAATGACTCTAGATGGCTTAATTTGCACAACATTCACCATGGCAGAGTCTCAGAAACTTAACTGTGCTAAACAGGAAGTTTAGATGCCTGCAAAGCCAAAGAGAGGATGACAAGTTATAAATTAATTTTTTTTTTTTTTGGTCAGGAGACTGATGTTTTCAGGGACTATATTATAAGATTGTCTGGATAGAAATCAGTAGTTGAGCCCTGAGATCTACTCAGGGCCGCAAAAGCCCAATGCCTTTCCTTAAGTGGAGAGCAACTTGTGGTCTTAGGAATCAGCATGTGGAAATGTGTGCCTGAGGTCCACCATGCTGCATGCAAACCTCTTTCCCGACACACAAGAGAAGAAGAAGCTGCACTCTGGCAGTGGTCAGGGATTTGTGGAAGGGGCCCACATCCAGGAAGGTAGGTAAGCTTTGGCGGAAGGTCACTAGCCCTGTCTCCAGAACATAGAAGCTTTGGACACTGGTTGTAATGATTCCCCCTGGCTCAGATGACCAGGACTGTAGGCCCCCGGAAAGGTCTTCCCAATGCTTTCTTGAAGAAAAGATCTCAAAACCCCTCTGAGGGCTACAGCAATCTCAGTTGAGCAGTCAGAGAGCAAAGCATACAGAAGTGCAGAACCAAGAGGCCAAAGGCAAAGGAGGAAGCAGAGAGAATTCTCTAAGCATCTTTATCTGAGTTTGGTTTAGTAAATAGTGAATAAAAGGATCGCGTTAGGGATCACAACCAAACCCTTCCCACTGCTCTGGCTAGGTCATCAGTAATGACCCAGAGCTGAGTAGGTCAGCATGTTTAGTAAAGACTAGAGACAGTGAAGGTAAGGGACACCCCTGAAGGGAGGGGCTAGCACAGGAACCACCACACTGGACTCAATCCTGTCAGTTATTGTGAAGACGACACAGACTATGTTCTATCTCGTTCAGAAGGGTCCCCATGACTCAGAGTTAACTGGGCAACAATTAATAACAACAATTACAGAATGCAGAAAAAGCCCTCTCAGGAGGGAGATCATGAAGAGGAATTTGATGTGGTCCTCATCGTCACAGGGTATATCAGAACTCAGACGAGCCGGTAGATGGGTTCAGTGCAGTCTGACATGATTTAATGAGGAGAGGCATACAGGATCTGCCCTGGGCACATACATAGTCACATTCACAATGTGTAACTTACGACAAATGGTTATGATAGATGTGTGAGAGTTAATCAGGTGAAGAAAGGTGGGCGTGGAGCCCCAGACAGAAGGACCAGTATGAGAGTGGCAAGAAGACTCACAGAGGACCTCCCCTCCCCACCAAGCAGGTCGTGATAAGAACCGAGGAGGCTCACAGGCTGTGGCTGGAAAGTTCACAAAGGGTCAGGGAAGAGCTGCAGTAGTGTGTGAAGGAGGCTGTGATGAGAAGCCTCTGAGGGACATTAAACAGAGGGAAATATAATCCGAGGGGAGTTTTTAAAAAATCACGTGGTACTAGTGCAAAAGGGGAAAGCAGCACAGACCTAAGGATAGACACAAACAGCAGCAAGATGAGTGGGGAGGGCTTCTACAGCTGCAATGGCGTAGTGGACAGCAGAGAAAAGCAGTGGACATACACTAACCTGTGTGGGGTGCTACTCAGGCAGAACTCAGAGACACGGCCCCATGAAGATGGAGGGAAAGGAGTCTGCCAGGCCTGCTGTTTCGCTTGTTTTAATTAATTTATTTATTTATTTTAAACTCAGGTAACTGGGGAAATTCACCAGCCATCTGTCAGTCTGTTGTACTTCAACAACAGAACTCACATGCTTGCTTGGTGTTAGAAGTTAAACCCAGTTGTCTTTTACTATTATCTTATCTTCATAATCACAGTGAACAGGAACTTGACATTGGATCTGAATGTGATTCCACCCAAGAAGCACAACTATGCAACCAGCCAGCAAAGAGTTCATCAGGGCCCCTTACAGGTGGTCCCACTTTAAACTGTAAACTAAAGCCTGTCTTTTAGCTTTATTAATTTCTTTAATTTTCTTCTCTCATCTAATACGACCTATATGAACAGTAACTGGGGCCATGGGGGTTTGGTGTGTTGGAATTAGCGAGACTGGCTGAGGACAGGGCAGGCTTCAGAGCTGCTGTGCATAGCGTCGCTATAGGTGGCAGGCAACTCGATGACATATAACAACAAGACAAGCACAGGAACTCTGTAGAAACATACAGTTACAGAGTCTAAAAGTAAGAATGACACCAAAATCCAGACAGAGGGTTAAGTCAGCCCTTCTCTAAGGAAGAGTTTTAGCATCATCTATGGGCCTGAATGTCTATGGGGGAAACATCCCAGGAGACTATACAATGGGACTCACAGTTGCCCAAGCTGTTTCTGACCCATGATGACCCCATGGGCATCAGAATAGAAGTATCTAAGGGGATTATTTTTTTCCCCAAAGCAGATGTCAGGTCTTTCAAACAGACACATCTTAGGTGGATTCAGACCTGCAGTCTTGCTATCAAGCGGTCAAGCACTCAATGACCTGCACCACATAGGACCACTGTAAGCTTAGGGTCCATTTAATGATTCACAAGTGGTTGCCACATTGGATGCTTATTAGTGTCACCAGTGGAGCAGCCTGACCCTAGAACTACTGAAAGAGAATCTCTGGGTACGGTGCAAGGATCCTGGCACATTTAAAAGGCACCCCAGCTAGCTCTAATAAGCATCTAGTAAAAACCACTGAACTAGTTCTTTTCCAGCCTTCCGGGAACTGCCAACCTACAAAGTATATGATTCAAAGGACAGTTCTTTAACTTGATACCTGGGCTTTATCGTGACTGGAGGAGGGAACACTACAGCAAGTCAGGCAGACCTGCGATGGAGAGTGAGGCAGAGACAGGGCCTTCACTCCCGGATAGCCTAGAGAACCCCACATACCTTCTAGCTGCTCTCTTCCAAGTTCATGTTCGTGATCTATAAAGACCACAGCTTGGCCCTTTGCAGAGGAAGCTGTACAGAGTCAGAACCAGCCACTTTTGAAACTGCACAGAGATGCGGCCATCTCTCACTTAACACAGATTAGGACTCTGAAGGCGTGCACAACCCTTATGTAAGCAGCACGCTGTGGCAGGCAGACTCTGAGACATGTTTGCAGCAACAGTATAAACTGGCGTGTATGTTTCCCTGTCAAAGGATTTTCAGTGAGGGGTATTAGAGAAATCAGAGTTTCAGACTCGATTTTGTTCCTTAAAGAGGCAGGTCGATTGTATAATTCTAAATACAAGTAGGAATCTTCCTTTGTTCAGTCCACACGTTAGGGGGACAGAGGAGTAAGCATTCAAATGGTTCCTGCCATGAGCTGGGAACCTTGGGCATTCATACAGCTCCTCCCAGCCTCAGTTTACTCATTGGGGAAATAACAAGATGGAACATATTAAAGAGAAATAATTTATGAAACTTCTGGTTTCAAAATTTGTCATAATTGTTCTTGAACTCACAACTGCAAAGGCTACTGTTTCCTGTCATTTCACTTGATATATTTAAAAAAAAAAAGTCAAACAAACAAAAAAAAAACCCAGAATTACAATTTTTCTGAATTGCTTTTGGCAACGGAGAAAATCATAATAACCCTTTTTTTCTAAAGTATCTAGAAATGGCATCTCACTGCTTAAATCACAGTTTAATGAAGAGAACAACCCTCCAGAAACTTGGCTTTTTTGTTATCATTTTTTAATTAAGATTTTATTGTGAGTTTACAAAGAACTTGGATTTCCATTCATTCACAGTTGCACATTTTCCTCCCCACCCTGCCTCACCCCCAGTTTGCTTTTTTTTTTTTAACTCTCAAAACTGTGGGCACCTCCATGCTATATTCATGTGTTAGTGAAAAGTGACTCTACATCTAACTCCTTTTTAGTGGAAAAGGTTAATTGTGACTTCTAGAAAATGTTATCAACACCCTACTGCAGGCTGTGCCCTACCTAAAACTCCAAAACCAAGCTGGGAGATGTCCCCTTCTATTGCAGATGACCTTCCACAGTAGCTTCCAGGATTCTCCAGACTGTGACTAGGATGATAATAGCTGCCTCCAGAAGCTTACACAATTGCAGAACTTGAAAGCTATGTTATTTAAATAACAGGAGATGCTGTATGTCTTTCACTGTGTTGTCATGGTCCTAAGTTCGGAAGCAATGGAATGTTCCAAATGGGTGTCAAGATAAAAAAGAAAAAGATGGCAACAGCAAATCAAAGTTCACTAGGAGAGTACAAATTCATGGGAGACGTCAGCATTACTTACAATGAGGAAACATAGCTGGAACAGCCCTGCTGGGTCCCAAAACAGGGAGGGTGTTTTCTATATTGAAGCAGGATGGTTTCCAGAGGCATAGTGTAATCTATAAGAAACAGCCCTCAAGACTGTCCTGTGCTCATTTTATACTCTAGGTAATTACTGATACTGTGTTCAGACTGCACCTTCATTTCCAGAGATAAGTCCAAAGTGTTTGGGGACAATCCTTCCAGAGGTTCAATATACCTTCTTTCTCAGGACCCTCACTGCTTGGAGAAGTGATGCGTCTCAACATTATGAGTTATATGTACATGTGCACGTGCACATACACATCCATCAGTCACGCTAGGGCTACATTCTTCTACCAGCTGATGAGTGCAGAGCCTCTGATATGTCCAGCTCCCATTTTTACTGCCCATTACTCACCAGCAAGAATTTGGAAGATCCCAGTGATGTAAAATCGGCCCCCCTTGGTGAGGGTGAAGAGCTGGCAGAAGAAGAGGAACAGGGACAGAACACTGAAGATGATGGACAGGATCATGGTGGCCTGGACGGACTGCAGCCATTCTGGAGAGAGGACAGAGTTGGTTAGGAAAGCCAGCCATGGACAGGAGAGGCCGCCTCTACAGGTTCCTGGGCCTGGTGCGTCCCAATCACAGAAAACCACAGAAAACCACAGTCGTTCTAGGCAGCAAACCCTCCTCCTGACCAGCAATCAGACCAATCACTTTTGCACTCTTCTAAGTCATTATTTATTTTATATTTTCTTTATAAAAAAAATATAGCAATACATGTTTAATTTGGAAGCAGGAGTGGTATCCACTTTCTAAACAACATGCCTCAGGAAACTCCATCACCTTTGTTTTGAGAAACAACGATAGTTAATAGAAAGCTTCAGGTCTTCCCTTCATAGGGTCGCTATGAGTCATGCTTGACTAGATGGTAGTCAACAACAACAACAACAACAATAACAACATATTTAATTGCAGAATTATTCAAGGACTATAAGAAAAGAAGTACAGTTCTACCATTAAGACTGAAGCACAATATGATGTTGCATGTCCAGCAGGTTTTCAGTCAGCAAATCGCATGAGAGGAGATTACTCCCTCTTTCTCTGAGGGATAGTTTCTGGATTTGAACCACATAACTTTATATTGGCAATGTAATTCCTTACCGGCAAGCCACCAGAGCTCCTCAACAAACCCATGTTGTTGTTGAGTACTATCAAGTTGGAACCATCTAACAACTGACCCTCCAATGGATTTTCAGAGGCAGTAGGTCACATGGGAGGAGACTGCCTATCTTTCTCCCATGGAGCAGCTGGTAAATTCAAACCATGTGCCTTTGAAATGGTAGCACAATTCTTTACCACTAGGCCAAAAGAACTCCATAAACACAATAGACTTTCTTTTCCTTACAGTTTTTCTTGCCAAATGTGTTTGTTACATACGTGTGTTAAAGCAGATCTGAGACTTTCACAGCTCCCAATGGCCTCTCCTCTTTTTGCTCAGAGGCCTTGGAAGGGCTAACTCAAACTCTTAAAATCCAAGGAGAATGGTTGACAAACTGTTGTTGTTGTTGTTATGTGCCGTCGAGTCGCTTGCGACTCATATCACCATCCCCAAGACAAAAGATGAAGTGCCTAAGAAGACAAACACAGTGTTGGAGCCAAAACTAACTCTAGATACAGCAGGAAGAGAACACTTCTGGGGAGGGTATGCTTTATACATCTTTGAGAATCCACTGCCTGGCTGAGCTTTGCCTTTTCTTGGTCATTCTTGACTTTGGCCCTTAACAGAGCAAGATGATTTTTGTCAAACCTCAAGATAGGATGATGGTTGAGAATTTCTCACCTCTTTTAGAACCATTAACTTTAGACTACAAGGTCCTTGGTGGCACAAATGATTTGTGTATAAAGTTATTGGTTCAAAAATGTCCTGGTGTATAGCAAGAACATGAACACAGCCCAAATGCCCAACCACAGTGAAATGGATTGAGAAATCATGGTACGCACGCAGGAGCAATGATTTTCTGTTACTAGCTAACATGGTAGGGAGTAGAGAACATTATGCTAAGTGAACTAATTCAGTCTCATAAAGATAAATACTGTATAAGATCATTATTGTAGATCAGGTACAAGGATCTAAGGCAGGAGGGGGGCTTAATCATAGGGTCACACAATTTGATGAGTAGAGGGAGGGGTGGGTAAAGGAAAAGGGAAAGATCCAGTGTGGAAAAACAATATATACGGACTTTATGAACTTTGTAAGTAAACCAGTATAAAATTTTAAATGTTTTTAAAGTCCTGGTTTTATGATTCTGTAAAGATTGTTATTGTTCACTGTAGAGTTGGAGCCAACCCATCGCTGACCCTCCGGAGAGTTTTCAGAGGCAGTTAGTCACACAGGAGGAGATTGCCCATCCTTCTCCTGTGGAGCAGTGTGTGGCCTGGAACCGCATGCTTCTGGGATTGCAGCGCAGATCCTTGCCACTAGGCCACCAGAGATTACTATTTATAAAATCCTCTAGAGCAGTTCTACTCAATAGATGGGATCGGCACAAGTCACAACTGACTCCACACACCAGTGGATTTGACTTTGTTTTGGCATCTTAGATCCCACACTGGAAAAGATACTATGTAATGAATGGATGATCAGATATTGTGTGCATTATAACTGATGTTATGAAACAAAATGTGCATTAATGATTGATTTAAAAAACCACAATGTTTTGTAAATTTGCACTCACCTTACAACTTCAAAAGTTCTTTTACAAAATCTCAAATTTTTTTCTAAAATTTCAGGAAACAAAGACCCCTGGGGTCACTCCAGTTCAACTTCTACTACAAATCCTTGTCATTCCAGGACAAAGAATATAAACAGCTATGTCTTACACAAACGCAGGTTATACACATGGACTTCACCTGATGGTATGCATAGGAATCAGATCGACTACATCTGCGGAAGGAACTGCTGGAGAAGCTCAATATCAGCTGTGAAAACTAGGCC